AAATCGTCTTGCCCTTTTTGCAGCAAGAGGTACAGCTCCTCCGCGAATTTTGACAGACATCTTCGAACGATCCATCCTTTGGAAGCAGATGAATGGCTGGGAAATCAATATTCACTGCTGGAGCACGATCAACCTGCAGAGACCCCCGACAACACTGACGAGAGCCCAGAGAGCATTCCCGATTACTATTCAGACACGCATTACGATTCAGAGTCGGACATTTTCGACCAAGATTCGGGTAACAATTCGGACCTCGAATCCGAATCATATTTCGTGATGGAAGAGGCAGATGGCGATTCAAATGGGCATAGTAGGGCATCTACGACAGTTTACGAGGGTGCTGGGGAGCCACTTTACCGCTCGGAGGACTACGACGAGTGCTCACAGAGCCTTCTCCAATACCCATGGCACCCATTCCGGTCAGCATACGAGTTCAGAATAGCACGCTATTTCACACTGTCCAAAGCCTCACAGGGGAACATCGACAGCTTCTTTCTACACGCTCCGCCGAGTAGTGGCGAGTGCTCCTACAGCACTGGGCGGGGTTTTATCAAGAGGTTGGAGGAAATGAACGATATACTGGGAAAGGCGAGCTGGAATCATTCGGAGGTGGATATTGGGTGGGAGAAGATCTCTTACTACTACCGGGATCCAATGGTAGTCGTCCGATATCTTCTAGGGCAACGTGCCTTCCGGGAGTCATTGGTGTATTCGCCCGTGGTGGAGCATAATGAATTCGGCGAGCGAATGTACGGGGAAATGCATACAGGAGATTGGTGGTGGGAGATACAGGTCCGTAAACTTCACCCTGTCAACTTGAGGTGCTCTATGAGCAGTCGATGATGCTACAGGAGCAGTCGCTAATGTCTTCTCGACAGAATACGTTACCGGAGGGGTCCACTGTCGTACCAATTATCTGCGCGTCGGATGGCACACATCTGACAAATTTCAGCGGGGACAAGAAAGCCTGGCCAATCTATCTTACCATCGGGAATATCAAGTCGTCGGTGCGCAACAAGCCCACAGGGCATTCATTCATTCTCCTAGGGCTGCTACCAGTGCCACCGAAGCTCGGAAAGAATACAACACTCGCTAATTCCGTTTTAAGACGTCAGAGTCAAATGGCACTGCATCGTGCCCTTGGGGAGATCTTTCAAAGCATTCGCGAGTGCTCTCAGGAGGGCGAGCTAATCAAATGCGCCGACGGCTACGAACGACTATGCTTTCCGGTGCTCTCGGGCTGGATCGCCGATCAACCCGAGCATTCAAACTTGCAAAACATTAGCACTAGTGCTTGCCCGAGATGCGAGGTGGAGTTTCACAATCTTGGGAGCACTCGTCGAAGCTCTATGCGCAATCACGAGGACTACAGGGAGAGGGTACAGCTATTTGGCGAGAACCCGGGCAATCTAGAACCGGTAGAATACCTTGTTGGGAGATCCGTCAAAACACTCTTCAATGCTTTCTGGGGTATGCCGAGGGTTAATCCGTACGATCTCAATAAACCGGACATACTGCACAACATTTACCTGGGGATGTTGAAGCACATGATGGAGTGGATTCAGGGTTTCTTGAAGAAGCATCATCGATTGGAGGAATTCGACAAAGCTTGGGCTTCGATTGCGCCTTACCCTGGACTAGCAGTACCAAACAAGGCATATCGTTCTACCACCCAATGGCAAGGGAAAGAGATGCGGAATCTGGGGCGGGTCGTTCTAGGAGCACTCGCGGCTGCTCTGAGAAACCCGGGAGTGGCTGTCAGGAGCGACTTCGCAAAAGCTTTGAAATGCGTTCGAAGCCTAATAGACTTCCACTTAATGGCGCAATATGGGAGTCATACAACGAGCACACTGGACTATATGGAGAGCTATCTCGAGGATTTCCATAAACACAAGGATATCTTTTTAGAATTCAGGGCGTACAAGAAGACGTTAAAGGATGCGAGAGATCGAACGAAAGCAATTAGTGGCTCCCAGAGCACCCAGCGAGGCTTGGAGGAGATCCGGGAGATTCGGGAAAGATCGCACTTCAACTTCATCAAATTGCACGTCTTAATGCACTACCGGGAGCACGTTGAGCGCTTTGGTAGCATTCCTCAATACTCCACGGACGTCAGCGAGCTTGCCCATGTACGGCAGGTAAAAGAAGCTTACAGAGCGTCCAACAAGGTTGATGCTGCGACGCAGATACTGGACTATGGAGGGAGGCGATTGGCGTTAGAGATTCGAATTCTGAATCTGAAAGACATCGTCGGAGGTTCTGAGAGCACTGACGACATCCTCTGGAGCCATCGGGATAACCTCAAGGAGTTGCTCGACATTTTCAAGATCGAGGACCGCAAGAAAACGCCAAATGAACGCTCAATAGTAGAAAGCGGACTGCCCCTGAAGCGTCTTTGCAACCCCTCCGCGAAATCGGAAAGACTTTTCAACGTGGCAGACGGACTGCAAATGAGCCATCTCACGCTATATCGCCTGATAAAGGACTATGCCGAGGATGCGGGATGCTCTCAGAGCTTTGCCGGAAGCTCTGAGAGCATGTTGGAGCGCCGGGTGGAGGTTTTCACATGCTTGCAGGTTCCGATACCACTCTTCCAAAGGCCTGACGTATACGAGGTTCACAACATCAGGTGTACGGGAACAGCATCTTTTAGGAAGGGGAAAATAAGAAAGGATTGGGCATGGGTATCGGTAGGTTCCTCAGAGCAGTGGGGAGTGTTTCGGGGACGCTTACCAGGACGTGTGGAGGCTCTGTTCAAGGTGCGGGATAGCACAGGGCGCGCACATAGACTATGTGTAGTTGAGCTGCTTGAGGCGAAGGATCGTGGTATCGCTGATAGCTCACATGGGCTGCTGAAGGTCTGTAGGAGGAGGAGGAAGAGGATGTGGGTCGTGAATATTCGGAGTATATTAGGAATGGCCCATTTGTTCGAGGTGGATGCTGGCAATTGGCTGGTAAATACTAGGATAGATTTGCGTACGTGGAATGAATTCAGTTGAATGCTGTAAAGCATTCCCGAGTGCTATGCAGTGATGTGAGAGGATCACCGAGTGCTATGCAGTGATGTGAGAGGCTTACCGGGTGCTATCCAGTGAGAGCATTACCGAGTGCTATCCAGTGATGTGAGAGGATTACCGAGTGCTATCTAGTGATGTGAGAGGATTACCGAGTGCTATCCAGTGATATGAGAGGAATACCGAGTGCTATCCAGTGATATGAGAGGAATACCGGGTGCTATTCAGTGAATGCTCTGAGGGCAGTGGCGAGTGCTCTACGAGTGGAATGTTAGACCCAATAGGACCGTCTAATTCAAAATTCGTGTCGTTCTGCTAGTACGCATGCGGATTGGAAGAGGGAGGTGAGTATCGGCCGCTCAGTATCTGAGTCTGACTATCCAGCAAGCCAGCTCCAGGAGGGCGCGGTAGGCAGGCATTGGTCTTCCGACCAGTAAAGTCATCCTGCACCTTTTTCCAGTCCATGTTTGCTGCTTATGCATGGACATTGAGCTTTTCAGACGAGCCGTACCATGGCCTCAACCTCAAGGCTTATGCCTTTCACGAATCGACAGATACATACACGTTCGTCAAAGGTTTGGTAGCCATCTCCAGTATACACGACAGTGCTCGTATCAGTATTCCGCGACTGACCGTTCAGCGGCGTGAAGAATACCCACGTGAGATATCGTTTGAGGGACCGGCGATGCCTGCCTTGCCTTTGAAGAAAGCGTATCGATTCATATGGGTCTAAGTGGGGGGTGTCCCACCTTGAATAGTATTATTAAAGATGTTTCCGCAGCTCTACGAGCATTGGTCAGTGCTATGGAAGCATTCGTGATGCTCTCCGGACGTGAGCAATATCTCTTGGCAGTGCCTGGAAAAACTCATTGACGAAGAGTGTCTTGGCGTGGGCGATATGCTCTGGCGGTGCCTGGCGAGTAGCTCGTTGAGAATGCTCTCCTGGCGCAGATAGTACTGACGAGTGCTCTCTAGGCGTGAGCGATATGCTCTGGCAGCGCCTGGCGAGCAGCTCGTTGTGATTTGATCTCCTGGCGCAGATATTACTGACGAGTGCTGTCAGGGCGCTGACGCTGTCTCCTGGCGGGCCCCGACACGTCCGTGATTCGTTGCCAGTCCCTGGGCGGAAACTCATTAGTTGATCGTTCTTCAGACGCAGGAGGCATACCCAGGCGTGTCATGGCGGAGAGAGCATCGCCGGGTGCTCTCAGGACGAGCACCATATCGCCTGGAGGTGCATGACGCGTGAAAGTGCACGACGCGCCTAGAGAAGATTGCGGAGAGAGCATTGCTGGGTGCTCTATGGATGTAGGTGATATCGCTCAGAGTACTCTGTAGACAGTAGCATTAGCGAGTGCAAAGAAGCTCATTAGGGAGTACGAATATGCTGCTCTGACAGCGGACTGCTTGGAGCGAGTGCTCTGCTTGGATCGAGTGCTCTGCTGGAGCGAGTGCTCGAGTTGCAGTCGTGAAAAGCTCTCTTCTCTGACGTGGTCAGATGATTGGCACTGCGCTCTGGCGGAGTGTATAGACGATTATGCGCCCTGGTGCTGCCAGACAGAGAACATACTGCTCTGGGGGCGTCGGGCGCGGATGCTAGGATCACCTGGCGCGAGCACCCTGCTGTGGCGACGCCTGGCGCGAGCACCCTGCTGTGGCGACGCCTGGCGTGAGGACCCTGCCCTGGCGACGCCTGGCACGAGCACTCTGCCCTGGCGGCGCCTGGCGTGCCTGGCGCCCAGGGCGTAGGCGCTGCGCCCTGAGGAATAGCAGAGTTTGCTGATGTGCCTTCAAACCGGCGGCCAATGCGATCAGATGGACGTTACTAGCGTTTTCCTATACGGCGAACTGTAGGAAGAAATCTATATGAAATCACCACCTGGCTACCCTACTCCCGGTAAGGTATGCAGACTTATCAAATGCATCTACGGCCTCAAACAGTCATCTCGGGAATGATATGCTTGCCTCTCCAAAACGCTAATTAAAATGGGATTCAAAAAAGCGGACTTCGACCCTTGTGTTTTTATCCACAGAACAGGGAAGGTTGTCATCCCTATCTATGTAGACGATATCCTTATCTTCTACTGGTCCATTGAACGTAAAAACCGCGTCAGCCTCCAACTCCACGCAGAATTCGAAATGACGGAAACTGGCACAGCCAACTGGGCACTCGGGATCCACGTGATCCACACTAAAACTGGCGTGATCCTATCACAGGAAGCCTATCTCAAGCGTGTACTCATTAAATACAGTTTCGATGAATCTAGACCTGTGGCAACACCTATCGACAATAATGTTCACCTACAAAAGGGAACAGAAGCGGAGAAAATCGACGATGCAACAATCTATAAGTAGATAATCGGTTCATTAATGTATGCAGCAATCGGTACCAGACCAGACCTCACCTACACCGTCACCATGCTCTCGCAATTTTCTTCCTGTCCCACCAAAGCTCATCTGGCTGCAGTCCATCGCGTCCTTCGTTACCTCAAGGGTACCTCGATTGGTAACTCTTCTACACAAAAACGCGACCCACTGCACTCATTGGCTTCAGTGACGCAAGCTATGCCTCTGATATCGATGATCGCCGCTCATTTACCGGCCACTGCTTTATACTAGGGGAAGCTCTTATCTCCTGTCGCTCTTATAAGCAGCGCTCCGTCACCACGACTACTACTGAGGCAGGATATATGGCTCTTTCGGATACTAGTCGACAACTGATCTGGTTAAGGAACGCGATACATGAGTTGGAACGGAAACCGAAACTTTCTTTTATTCTTCGTGGTGATAATAATGGTTCTTTGTCCTTGGTTAAAAATCCTGTCTTTCATAAAAGTTCTAAACATATTGATGTGCATTTTCATTTTGTTCGGGAACGATACGAGGATAAATTATTTGAGTTGGAATATATCTCTACAAACGAAAACTTGGCGGATTTACTTACAAAGGGATTGGATAAGGGCAAGCATGTTTTATTTTCTTCTACTATTCACTGTGGCTCACAAGGGGAAGTCTTGAAATAGTACGCTTAGCACATTTCATAGTATTGGAGGATTCTCATTTGTCATCATGAGTCACGGGTTTTTGACTCATTCTTTCTCTGGTATTTATTAGTCATGTCTTTCTATTACTCATACAGTTATGATTCATTATGTTTTGTGTTACCTTTCTTTAGTATAAATATGGGGCATATACCCCTCTTTAGTTAGTTGGAATAACATGCTCAATTACTATACTTCTCTATATATATTTTCTCTATATCAGCATGGAGACAACAGTCAATGAGCAGACTAATAAGCAGCCTGTCAGGGTCGGGACCTTACATGATGTACTAGGGTGTAGCGAAAAGTGATCAGAATCTGATAAGACAAATACACGTATTCACCGCAGCATTCACTTATCAGATTCTGATCACTTACCCTCAACACCCGGTACACATAGGCAATAACATCGGGGCTTAGGTCCGGTATCATCACTAGTGTTTACGGCCTTGGAAAAAGGCGAGAGTGGAAGGTGTTAAAAAACGGAGACACTCCGCCGACTCACAATTTAGCGTAGTAGTGAAAGAGAATATGGTGGCGCGGTATCAAGCTTTAAGCCACCTTGGCTATGTTATGTCCCAGCGATGAACGCTCCCCATTCAGGAACGGTCGTGAATCGGACATTCTATTCACAAATGGAACAGCAATTTAGCGCTCCAATCATGAACGCACTGTTATATCAGACAAGACTGGTAATTAGACGTCAGTTCCAGCTGCAGGGTCGGTGTCAATGTCAGTTTCTTGTTTATTCTCAAGTCACTTCAGAAATATCAGCAAAATATACAGCAGGCTGGGAGGGAGTTTAGCAGAACTTTGCAATGTACTATGTATGAACCCAGATAAGTAGTGGTGCTTGAGGAACACCTCTATGGAATATCCTCTACTGGTCTGGAGATGTTCTGGCTCAGAGATAATATACATGACCCGAGACCGGTGTACCAAGGCTTATATATCTGCCAACAGTGCATAGTTGTTAGGCGTAGGTGTGGCATTCCTGACTGGTGGCTCTACTGGCTGATGCTCCGGTATAGGATTGCGTTCCTGAATGGAGAGCGTTCGTCGCTGGGATATAACAGCTACACGTGGGTTCCGTTGACTTCAGGGGCTGGTTTATCTCTATCCGAATGCTTCACGACTGTCAAGAAAAGAGTGCTTACGCAATTGGGATTTTTCACTGTTAATGGGCCAACCACCTAAGGCTATTGTCAAGGGTTTGTTATCTAGGCACGCTCTCTCGTAATCGTGTCTGAATTGATCCGAAAGTGTGGTGAAATCGGAATCACCTTCCACGCGCTAACAGAGTTATAGAATCGACTGATCGAATAGAGGAAGCCATTGTAGAGCAGGGATTATGAAAGATAGGAACATATTACTTATCAGTATGTAGCCTTAACCAGCATGTAGCGTTTTGATATGCATCAAGGGGGCCTTTAAAGATAAAACTTAGCCATGATCAATGATCATTAGCACGAAATTACATTTGATCTCCCGCTGATATTCATGAGTACTATTAAACAGTATAAGAGAGCTTTACACATCATTATTTGTGATATGCTCACTATCCGGACAGGTCATAATTTGCCACTAGAGCTACAAAAATCGTTCGATCATGAAACATCATTCGGTCATGGTGTCTCACTCGCTTCATCGATAGATCGCTTCTGTTTATTTTTATTTTTTGTTTAATTAATTAGTTGCATGATCGCTTCTGTTGCGTGTGGGCACTAAAGGGTGAAAGTAGATTGAATTGTACGACAATTAGCTGCTTTAGAGAAGATATTGAGCCGGACTGTCTTAGTTTACCGATACACAGTTGGGATGGTTGGCAGTAGACTGTCTTATAATGACCATTGACATGAATCTCGAAAGTCCCTTAGGCTAGATTTCGGACTTATACGGTTCGCCTACCTACGGCACAAAGTCATGCACACGAAACAGTTGCATACCTTCAGGACTACTTGTAATATCCCTACCGGCGGGCAGTGGCACCAGACCACGACCAAACACCACCATGAAACCCATGGGGTTTTCTTAAGTCCAAGTTGAGGAAAAGATGACACAAGAGGTAGAGAAGGCGTAAGGAGTGGGGAAGATATCCCCAAGAGGCCTTTGATGCACCTTAATTGAGTTCATAGTATGCCCAAGGGTGAATCAGGGTTATGCGGTAAATGAAAGCTACCAAAAATAGTAGTTCTTTCATTTTTCATTTCTTTGCCATCTGATTATGCCATAATTTCAATTTCATGTTTATTCAATCTGTGGTTGTTGAGATGTTCGGTGGGTCGTGGTCTGGTTGCTATGGGGTGGGATCCGGGAATTTTCTAGGTACAGGTGTACAATAAAAAGTCTAGAGAATATTATGTAGTTCGAACGTACTGCAGTTGATGAGATCGGCACGAAAATTACATTGGTACGTACCGTTGAAAGCCCTGTTACTATGAATTATTCCTTCCTATGTCACCTAGACAGGTAGTGACGAAGCCCTATCTCCGGTAACGTGTAATATATAGGAATGTCCTATGCAGCAACATGTTTAGGTGATATCCATCGGTTGGTGTAGGGTGAAGGAACGTACATAACCTTATGAACGGAGCGCGCACTTGACCAAGCATCTCGCCCGTCAATAGTTCAGAACAAGGGAAGTGTTCGCGCAAGGGCCCGGTCGTGTAACTCTCGGTCATCTCATTGATGCACGCAACACACAGCTCAAATGAGAGTAAGATGCAGAACGAGCGACTGTGACAATGTTTTCCGCCTTTGTCGGATGTCGATAATTGGTTATCATTTTCTTGTAACCTATAGCCGGGATCAATCCTTTATAACCAAGGGAAACTACCAGCACCGCTATCGACCAGTTTATTCTACCAACAACAGTGTTCAGTCGTGCATGTTCCCCTTGCTTTCCTTTCCTCCCGCATCTTCCACTATCGGCCACCTTCTGGAACGGTCTACTATAATCTTTGTTCAAGATATGAGAGATCAAACAGGGGCTTACTATATCGTATTGCTATTTGAATAGCGTCCCATTCGGTAGGATGTACTCTAGCCATACGGGATCCCCCTTCCTCTATTAAAGTGTCGTGCGGCGAACACGACCCTATAGATCACCGTGCCTTAAATACTAATAGTGATAATAATAATAATACTAATAATAATAACAGTATTATAGTAATAACGCTGGACCTCGGCGCCGCGCTGTGATTACTCATCTACACTGCGCACACACGCAAGGAACAGACCAATCAGCAGCGCAGTGGTGGTCCTGGCCCTGATCATGGCCTCCACCGCCACCACCACACCAAACCACACCATCGACAACGACCGCCACCACTATCATCATGGCGCTCGCGGACCCTGCGCTCTCCCACCAGCTAATGCTAACCATCGGAAAACACGCATTCGCCGACCCCCCACTCCCACTCGAGCTCATGCTCGTCGTCGGAGAGCAAGCCAGCCCTCGGACTCTCTCCGTGCTCTCCCGCACCTGTCACACTCTCCACACTCTCCTCGCGCTGGAGCTCCAGAGGAGATTTAACGCCGACGTCGAGGACATCACCATCTGGGCGGCCGCCTCCACCCGCCCCCGACTCCTTGAGCGCGCCATCACCACCGCTCTCGCCCCCGGCTCTCCTGTTGCCGCCGCCCACCAGGACCGGCTCCGCGACACTCTCAGCCGGCGCCTCTCCCGGCTCTTCTCCCTGCCCGTGGAGCAAAAGGCGGCCGAGACCGTCAAAGTTCTGATGTCCCACAAAATCAGGCCCTTTGTCTCGACCGCCATGCGTCCCAGGAATCGGCTGCCCGGGAATCGTCCCACCACTACCACCATCGCTCGGCCCCCAAGCAACAGACCCATCACTCGGTCCCGGAGATGGTTGATTGACAAAGAATGTGCTCCGTCATGGGTGGAGCATGCGGTGCGCCAAGGGGATCTGTGGCTGGCGCGGTGGCTCCTGGAAGAGGCGGGTGCCGAGGTGCATGCAAGCGCGGTGAGGGTGCAGGGGAGCCAGGCGCAGACGCTATTAGACGTTGCCAGAGATCGGAGATTTGAGAGGCCGAGGGCCAAGTATGTGGAGGAGATGATCCAGCTGTTGATAAAGCACGACCCGAAGCCGAGCACTCCCTGCTATCCGGGCATTCGGCCAGAGAACCAGCAGCGCTTGGAGGAGATGCTGAAGGTGTCCGACGACCCAGGCGCGCTCCTGGATGCTTGGGTATCTGAGGAGCTTGAGGTATATGTCAACTTCGTATGGGAACGATCGGCTGAGTGTTGGAATACGCATATGACCAGTGCGTCGAGAGCGGTGGGGCTGTGAGGCCGGGTATGGAGACGGATAGGAAGAAGCCCGTATGTTACAGGCTGCTGCCCGAGGCATACATGTGAGGTGATTACTCTACATTCCCGCCCACCGTAGTGGGTAAACATGTTTGTATTTTATCTGAGGGCTCGTGTGGTTGTTTTGTTTCTGTTCTCCGGGCAATATAACTGGCCGAGGAATGTATGAATTTCAATCCCGAGCAGTATTGACTCCTGGCCGCTGCAAGGGCCGAAGGTATTGAATGGGGAGAGAACGAAGCTCTTCATCCCTTGATTGCAAGCTCCTCATCTGCCCCCGGGTCTCTAGGCTTGTTTTAGCTCCTCGCGCCGCAGTGAGCTCTGGACGTTGCTTGAGTTTCATCCCAACCATGAAAGCACTTGATCTAAGGCTGTGTAACTTCCACGGATTCAATGATCACTTACCGTAAACTAATACTCAATGATCCAGCCATGGTCCTGGACAACCACAAGATCGGGCGTCGAGTGCCTCAAACCAAAGATTGTAGACAATCGCCGACAATTGGGGATTGCGCAGCGCTTGGGGAATGGAACGTGTCAAGATGAACTATACAATCAATAGTGCTGTTCTGACCCATACATCCGTCATGCCCCATCCGCTGATATCAACATATAGGCCGACCCAATTGACTGCTGTCATCAGATGGCGCTACCGGTTAATCAATGGGTAGCATCGACTGAATGGGATACCCAATGATGGTACAGTGAGTGGTTGGGCTACCTAAATATTGAACAGTAAGTGGATGGATGCCCGCCCATCTCGAAATCTCTTCATCAGTGCTAGTGATGGGCACAGGACGGGTAGAGATGAGCCAAGGTAGGGTTCGAGCTGGCTTGCATTGTGGAGATAAAGGCTTGAGACCTTCGAGCCCTGGAGCTAGACTCGAGCCTAAGCTCCAGCCTTTTGAATATGGGCTAGAGTCAGCTCACGCTCGTCGATAAGAGAGCTCAAACTCAAATCTTAAACCAGCTTGACTCGTGCCCATCACTATTTATCAAGAATGGATATATAGTAAGGTAAATATAAATGGTCTGATATCAAATTTCCGAGATTTTAATTAACCACTGAATAGGGTTGCAATGACTGTATGAGCAAAACGGAGCTGAAAAGTCGACTTCCCCTACTTTTCAAAAACTCTGTCTCACCGACTTAACGGAGTTACAAAATTAGCTGCTTGAAAATAAACTTTTTTGCTAAAATGTAGTTGTGTGGTTGCGTTAGAAATCTTCCTCTTATGACTGCGTTTGGACTTGCACCGAAATGGGCCCTTACTTCGCGCACAAGTACATTGCCGAAAGATTGGGTATACATAGCTACGAGGGTACCGAATCTTCAGTGTTCTATAATATTTGCGATATGAGCAGGTATTTTATGCGATATCTCTGAATAGACTATCCATCGATCACCCACTGCCTGTTTGTGAACGAGGTATGCTATATGACGATATCATGCCAGCGGGTAGCATCCCCAACTAGGTCAGAATAGTGGCACATGACTACAGAGTTATAACATAATATCCTTTGATTTACTTATGAGTTCTAATTCGGAACAATTTTTGCCAGATGTAAATCGGGCTAACCAGCTTGCGTCCTGCAAGATTCAACCAATTCTCAATCTGAGGCGATCTATGCAGCATCCTTCACCAAAAGCTCTACCATATCATAATTCTCATCTCAATCCCCCTACAGTCTAATTTCCGTGGTTTGGAAAAGTAATTCACCTCCCGGCAGAGGTGAAATGGGGATCAAATAAGATAATGTCAATTACCTTCTAGGTTTTCTGATAAACTATCCAAGGAGGAATTTAAAGCTTTGATATCGACTCAAGCTCCTAATATAGTTTAGTGTAGGTAATATTATCTTCAGTCGGAGATAAACCTTTTGACTAGCAAAACTGCACCATCACATCAGCAAAAAATAGGTTTCCCCAAGACGAATTCCGGCACCCAGATGCTCAAATTCGTCTTTTGCCCCCAAAACCTCGTCTTTTGGCTCTGGGATCTCGTCTTGCGTCCCCTTATTTTTGGCCGCTTATCATTCGACTACAAAATGTTGTCCATTTAGAGCTCCAATTACGAAACCGGTCGTGCGACCTCATTAGCTCGTATTTTGAATCAATCTATCCTACGCTCATCTTATACAAAATATCCCCATCTTCACTACCTGTCAAAAGATAAAGATTGCTCAATTGGGAAATCCTCGTTATATGACTCGGACCTAATTCTGTCCAAAATCCAAGTCCAATAATCACTTTGTCTAAAATACAAACTCTAATGACCCACAGACCTGTTTAATACCTACCACATAACATGTACAATACAATCTAGTGCGTCAAATATCCATTGTTTAACATGTTTAAAAACTACCCTCTAATTCCTGTTTGTCTTCCTAGTTCGTTATAATCCCCCCTGCCTAAAATCTATCGTAAGAAGTCCAGCTGTCTAAACTCTCTTGTCTGGTGTTCATGTCATCAGTATCATTATAAAAAACCCAGTCCAACGTCCAGTCTTACTTCAGTAAATTGATCCGTATATCGATAGATCGATCGTACTATTGATAAACCATCTATTCTTTGTAGATGACATCGTCTCAGGCATCAAATGAGCGGCGCCCAAAATTCTTTTTATGTTTACAACCCATATATCATCAGGAGAGCTTGAGCAACGTGATACCCTTATTAGCCCGTGATCGACGTTGCGGTTTCCATTGAAGTCAGTTTCAATGGTTCTATCGTAGCCAGAAGTCTGGCCCTCTTTCGTCTTGAGTACCTGAGCTTAAAGACCGCAAGCAGCCTTGCTGGGTATAAGCACTGCAAAGCCTCCAGGTAAGCCGACTTTTGACGAAACCAGACTCAGTCGTTGCGCTCATTCCCCGTCTGTAACCCGACATTCCGGTCGTACGAAGTGTATGAGTTGTCCTCTCGTCATCCTGACCATGCAAAAGAACAGGTACGTTGAGCTGTTTGAATGTGTTTATATGCCAGCTATCGATTTCTTCAGGTATATATCTTCGTATCCAAGATATAGCTTCCTCCTGAAATACCGTCAGATGTAATACCCCAGTCTCTCTGTAGCTCCTGCGATATCTACACTACCGACATTTATTAATTTGAATGGGCATTTGACCCACCTCTTCTCCAACCTAGTGTCGCTTGCTAAATAGACCAATGGCACGACATCCTGCGCTTGAAACGCCGGGTCATCCTGAGGGTCTCTAAGATCCCGCCTTTCAACTTGCATCCTCCTCTTCAGACGTTGCTCTAAGATGTCGAGATTACTGACAAACTCAGTAGTCGAAAAACCGTCCCGGAAAATTTGTAGAAGATTTAATTCGCAAATGGAAAACATATAATAACGGTTAAATGTCCGAAGTATCTGCATTGTGGGATTGATATAATTGCTCCGACGACACGGTATTTTGATCTGATCCCTGTAGGTCGACTCACAAGACTCCGTTGAATAGTACAGAATATTGCCGTATTGACGAATGTGCTCTGTGAAATGGCCTATGAGGTGTATCTTGGGGAAGTTGAAGTAGGATTCCGCTCACAAGAGCTCGTCGGTTTCCGCTTGGAGATTTAGCCTTTGGTCTGCGATAACCCTTCGTCTTTGGCCTTCAGAGTCGTTTATGCCTATTAAATCGACATCGTATTCCCCCTGCAATTCCTCCAATGTTCCGCCACAAGTTTATCAGTCTCCCTAGTCACGCGATATTTCCTGAAGATATCCTTCGTCCTATGGAAAGCCTTTAGGTAACTATCCAACATGTCTATCGTCAGCTCGTTATGAGAACGATGTTGGGAGAGTAGTACCCAGTCAACCAATGCCCGAATACATTGAAAGGCTTTCTTGAATGGCTCTGCCTGCACAGATGACAGATTCCTGAGGGCGGACGCCAGGGCTGGTAAGATTATTTTCTGAAAATTACACATCTCCTTCCCTTGCCATTGACTGACTTCTTGATAAGGCTTCGTCAGTGGGGTAGATCCAGGGTGAGGGAGTATGTGCATCCATATGGAATTGAATTCATTCAAACGACCATGTTCCTTCAGGATGTCCTATAGCCACTCTATAAGATGTTTCAGGATTACCAAGTATACCATGTGCAGCATGTCTGGCTTATGGAGGTCGTAGGTTTGTACGAAGGGGAGATTCCAGAAAGGATTGTACAGAGGTTATAAACCACGAGAATCAAACCACTTGGTCAGCGTCTTCAGCTCCCTCTAACGGGGGAAAGTTCTAGGACAAAGACGTGGGTAGGTACCGAGACAAGTATCGACTCGCATACGTTTTCGGACGAGGACAGGGGACCGGTCTGAATACCGATCGAAACAGAATAGAATTTACTAGCAAACAGGATGAAGACGTTGCGTAAAGAATAAAGAAAGAGAAGTACAGATAGTGAGAATGAAACCTCGAATATAAACCCCAAAGAATAACCCAATAACTAATCCTCGTAATCACACCTAAGGAAATATCAAACAAATATAATAATATCCCACAATCGATCCCGATCCTTCTCTCTACAACCTAACCCGAAGCGCCTAGCGCTTACTGTATTCTCCAAGTACCTTCCTATCATATCCAACCTAACTGAAGCTATCCTGATCCTTCACCTAACAACCCAATTCCATAGCGTTCCCGTCGGCAGAGCAGGTGGAGGCGGTCGGGCCGTGATAATCTCACTTTTCGCCTCTCGTCGGATTCTCCACTACCTTCACCACCCTGTACTAAAGATACATTCTCTTGTATTTGTCCTGATCATGAGGGTAGGTTTTGAGCAGTTCGGTTTTGTATTCGTCCAGTCTGTTGATGGGTATCTCCCACTTGAGGCAAACGTTGAACTTGGTATTCAGAATATTGCAGCTCTCCATGTGGTCTGAAAGCCATGCCATCAGAATCGGCCAACAACACCTTTCGTACCCATCTGAGCAGCCCATTAAAACGCTGAGCCTTTGGTCAAAGTGTAGCAGAGGCTCCAGCATAACTGACATGACTCTCTTCAGCATCTCCACTGACCAGGACCGGAGTCTCCCCTTTGACGTCGTGTCGTCAATTATTTTAGCAGGTATTGGCAATAGTGCGAGCAGCAAATGCACTTTGGTCGATGGCTAGGATCATCCTTTTCTCGGTATATTGCCTATCCTCATATATATCGGCCATGTCTCCTTGTCTCTGGAGAAGCTTGTCAGATGCATGACTTCGGAGCTGCAGATAATAGGGACAATCGTGACCCCAGTAGGAAGTCTTTCCTACATATTCCACCACCGGTCCAATGTATACCTCTCGGAATAGAGTTGATATCCGTCCGCATTGTAAACCCTCTGCAGCCGATAAACCATGCTCGATTTGTAGCAACGTTGATACAGGAGATACCTCACGCATTCGACCGGATTCCTGTAATATAAGTCGGTCGTTCTTCCAAAGTCGTCCCTGACGGTCCCGTATTGAACGTTAGATAAGGAGCCCATGATTTTATCGAGCTGGTTCTGGAAAGTATAAGTGGACTGAACAGATCGCTCGTCCTTTGTTGTCTTGTGCAACCCCTCATTGAAGTAGGCATCAATTGATATAGAGGTCAGCTTGTGCTCGATAAAGAAACGAGTCAATCTCCATTCCGCTGTGTCTTTGAATGCTGCCCAGGGCTTCCAATTCTCTTCCATATAGTCCCGACAACCCTGTACCTACCCATATCTTTGTGCACTGTTGGGTAGGTATGCCCTAGTCTTTTGATTATCGTCAGCTTGCTCTGAGATCGGGGTGGCGATCGCCTGAAGGCCTTCGTAGTCGGAGTCAGCGTCAAAGTCGGATTCCGCCTCAGAGTTGGCTTCTGAGTTTGTAGAATCATCCGACCCATCAATTACTAGAGTAAGCATACCAGGCCTGGCATCTGGCAGTGTAGTTTCGTCTTCTAAATGCTCGTTCTCAGGCAAATCGTGACCACCATTATGCCAGTAAATATGACTTGCAAGATGTCCTGCATCATGGTAATAACTTGTGCACAGGGGGCAAGGTGTGGATGATATCTGCTTTATTGATCAGTTGTGATGGTCTTTTGGCTTGTCGTGCGTGTCTTTTACTTCTTCGTATAGCTCATTCTCGCGTTCACTGGCACTGGTATCGAGTGGGTTTATATCGCTGGAATTCTGACTGAGCAAAATGACACTGTAGCACAGACCAACGATCGTTTCCCTGGGATTGTCAGCCGCGAGCCAAGCTTTGTCAAGCACATGTGACCTGACATCATTCATCATGATGTCATATGAGCTCACTACCAACAGTTGCAAATCCCCGTCAAAGCACTCGTGTTGGTTCATTCATTAACCTAATCCAGCGACGATGTGCCTTTATTTGTCATCCCCTGCCTTGTGTATATGGTTAGGCATTACGAGTTGTTGGTTCCAGCACACCCTCACGATGGTAATTCGCATAGTCTTTGTTCTATATAAGGGTCTAAATACCTAGTTGTTTCCCCGGAGTCTATCCTCCTGAAGGCATCCAACAACAGTGAACCATCTTTTGACCACCTTCCTAACGCAACTGACTACAATGGTGGGAATGCGATCGGGTAAGAACAAGTTGGCATTAGACCAAGCGGGAAGGTCATCTCCGAAGAAAAGAACAGAATGGGCCGATAAGCAGGGCTCCTGAGTTTTGTCGATTAGCAGAGCAGCGTACATAGCAAAGGTAAGATTTCTATCCAGTCCTATATCTTTCGCCCTCTGATGCCCACCAGGGGTATGCGAAAAAGAGCAAATTTACTGGCGCCGAAGTTAAGTCCTTGCTCGGCATTACGCCGGCTCAATGGAGGAACGTGTTCAAGCTCTGCACGACTACTTTATCGAGAATGAGATTGTCAGCAGAACTATGGCAGCAGACGAGGAATCAGACCAGGCTGTGAGACTCGTGCCCAGTTATCCGCTCTCGATGAACTTCAGATGCCTGCTTCAACAGCTGGAGGAAGATTGCACCTTACAAGGAGCTTTGGTTAAAGCCTGTTTGAGCAGTATACTCCAATATCTTGCTAAACGTAAGTCTGCTGAGGAGAGAGAGAAGTTCTCTGAGGCACTCAAAGAGAATGAGTGTGCGGCGAAGTCAGCGAAGGTGAAAGCAGCGAAGAAAATGAGACCAAGGGGAATGCAACCGATACAAAAGGCAATGGCAAGCAGCGCAAGATGGCGCCAACTTGCAGTTCGACAAAGAGGAGCAAGCAGGCCCAGGCACCTCTGCCCGATGACGAGGACGAGGTCTACCCTGACATTGACGAATTTGCCTCGTCAGAAGATGAAAAAGAGAAGACAAGGGACAATGCACATGTTGGAGATGGGAAGGACAACGAAGAGACATCCGAGGAAGCCGACGAGCCCTTCTCAGTGAAGCCTCGGAAGGTCGAAAAGGCACCATATCCTATTGATCGGCCTATCGGCATTTCACATTCTTTCCCCTCCAAATACCACTTTGAGCGGCTCAGAGGGGTAAAGTTGGGACTACATCGGAAGCCTTGGAAAATGCCTAATTGCACTACAAGAACTTTTGGTGGGTATCCCTACCTGATGTTTAGTTCACTTCCCGGTCCGTATCTATGGGAGGTCGTGAGGATGGTCAGGAGTGTACAACTTGATCCTGAAATCTGCGGCGGTGCTTCTGACTTGCTACACTCCACGATACACTATTTGGTCGGGTCTCTTGTCCTTGATGAGGAGTTTTCCAAAACCGCGTCGGGTCAACATAGTGTTTAACAGCCGTTACCTGAACAGGTCATCTTCCTACAGTCGGACAAAGATGTCAGAGTATGGCTCAATGCTTGTATAATTGCACCGTGATTGAGGCTATTGGTGGTTTATAATAAGCGCGATAAAAATGGCAGGCAGACTCCACCGCCTCTGTCATTCCCCTACTTTCACGTTGACTGGGAGCTGCTGATGGACAATCAGTTACGGATTGACCGAAGAGTATCGGGCATTAAGGCCGAGGAGACAGAAAGCCGTGGGGAGAAACTGACAAAGAGAAACAGAAGTGAGATTGTGGAGGTGAGCGACGATGACGATTACGGCGACGACGACAATGAAGGGAAGAGTGAAGGTGGAGGGTCGAATTCCCGTAAAAAGCCTAGAGGAGAGAACGCCGGAGAGGGCAAGTCAAGCAAGATGGCCCAGAAAGACGACGATGATGGGGACGACAACGACGAAGAGTATGAGGAGGACGATGACATCGATGACGAGGAAGAAGAAGAGGAGGAGGACGAGGAAGAAGAGGAGGAAGAACAGGAGGAGGAGGCCCCAAGGAGAAAGAAGACAAAACATCCGGGCTCGAGATGCCGGCCAAGACACCACCATCAAAGAAAACCGGCCTGAAGACCCCGGCCAAAACACCTGCTCAGACTATTACTGGCCAGCGAGGAGGGAGAAGGTCGAGAGGGTGAGTTGCACAAAATCCCGTACCAGTAGTATAGTTTAGGGCTAGTTAGAGTTAGGGTTAGGGTTAGCTAGGGTTAGTTATCTAGTAGTCGAATGTCGGACAGGATTTTGAGGTTGCCCGGGAACCGTCGCCCCACAATTCCGGGCTCCGTGGCTATGGGTCGAACAGGACGACCCGAGTCCATTCCCATCATCAGGTATGCGCGTACAGGGGGTCGTGGTCGTGATTGCGGGGGCGGAGGTGGTGGTTGGGGGCTGTTGAGTAGGGTAACTCACTGTGAGTCTTGGCGACCCATCCTGGTTCACTCCCGGCACCGCCACTCACCGGGCGGGTACAACGATCGATGACTGCATGGCACCGAACGCACCGTCTCGAGCCCACGATCATGACGGCGCACGAAATTCAATGATGCCGCGTTTCCCCATCCTCTGCTTCGATGGAATACATAAATTTCGGATTGCGAACTGCGGGTCACCGCATCGGGCGAATCCCACTTCTTGTCTCCGCTGTGTCTTCTTACGCCAACTCGGATTCTGACCTCCAGGTTACCGCCCGGTGTGTTTTGTAACACTAAATCGGATTTCAATCTCAAACAACGCTATGTGCAATACCTGCAACCCAATATGTGAGTGACGATCCATGACCGAGATTCCATATTGTGTATTGTTGCAGTCTAGTAGTCGAATGTCGGACAGGATTTTGAGGTTGCCCGGGAACCGTCGCCCCACAATTCCGGGCTCCGTGGCTATGGGTCGAATAGGACGACCCGAGTCCATTCCCATCATCAGGTATGCGCGTACAGGGGGTCGTGGTCGTGATTGCGGGGGCGGAGGTGGTGGTTGGGGGCTGTTGAGTAGGGTAACTCACTGTGAGTCTTGGCGACCCATCCTGGTTCACTCCCGGCACCGCCACTCACCGGGCGGGTACAACGATCGATGACTGCATGGCACCGAACGCACCGTCTCGAGCCCACGATCATGACGGCGCACGAAATTCAATGATGCCGCGTTTCCCCATCCTCTGCTTCGATGGAATACATAAATTTCGGATTGCGAACTGCGGGTCACCGCATCGGGCGAATCCCACTTCTTGTCTCCGCTGTGTCTTCTTACGCCAACTCGGATTCTGACCTCCAGGTTACCGCCCGGTGTGTTTTGTAACACTAAATCGGATTTCAATCTCAAACAACGCTATGTGCAATACCTGCAACCCAATATGTGAGTGACGATCCATGACCGAGATTCCATATTGTGTATTGTTGCAGTCTAGTAGTCGAATGTCGGACAGGATTTTGAGGTTGCCCGGGAACCGTCGCCCCACAATTCCGGGCTCCGTGGCTATGGGTCGAACAGGACGACCCGAGTCCATTCCCATCATCAGGTATGCGCGTACAGGGGGTCGTGGTCGTGATTGCGGGGGCGGAGGTGGTGGTTGGGGGCTGTTGAGTAGGGTAACTCACTGTGAGTCTTGGCGACCCATCCTGGTTCACTCCCGGCACCGCCACTCACCGGGCGGGTACAACGATCGATGACTGCATGGCACCGAACGCACCGTCTCGAGCCCACGATCATGACGGCGCACGAAATTCAATGATGCCGCGTTTCCCCATCCTCTGCTTCGATGGAATACATAAATTTCGGATTGCGAACTGCGGGTCACCGCATCGGGCGAATCCCACTTCTTGTCTCCGCTGTGTCTTCTTACGCCAACTCGGATTCTGACCTCCAGGTTACCGCCCGGTGTGTTTTGTAACACTAAATCGGATTTCAATCTCAAACAACGCTATGTGCAATACCTGCAACCCAATATGTGAGTGACGATCCATGACCGAGATTCCATATTGTGTATTGTTGCAGTCTGGTTTTGCATATCCCCTTGTTAGGGTTGGTCAAAATGACTAAGCAAATGAATTACTTCTGGTAACTCACTGGATTATATTTTTCCGATCCACAAACTTAATTCTTTTGAAACATGTGAGTTTTATGTGAGAGCCGCTAACCACGAAACTTAAAGAAATTTTTTAAATATACTCATAAACTAACTTCTAATATAAAACATCGACAACTTACAATCCTAACAAAACCGATAAAAATGTTTTGCAAACAGGATCCTGTATGTCAATAGACCGCACAATATACTAAAATCTTATCGCAAATCTGTTTGTACGCTAAGTTAATGACACTCTGGTCCCTGAATTGTGATCTCTTATCCGTCCCAAACCCCTTGCTTAACAAAGGAAAACAACCTTCGTGACCCTAGCAAAAACTTATAACCTGATATACCCAACCCCCTTACGCCCCTCTACCCCACCGAGCACTGCAGGCAGGAAAAGAAGACTTTCACAAGTCTCCCCTGTCCTCAACCAATCCAGGATATCTGTCACATCCCAGCAAGGCTTCCTGAACTTCTCTTTCGTGAAAACCCTACCCAAAGGGATTTTCGCACCACCACGTTTCACCGAAACCCAACAAGTTCAATCAACTCAATCTACTATCATTGAACAAATCCAACTCAACAATGAACCATTCTTCATCTTCGCAGAACACGCCCCATACAATGAACAATACACACCCCGATATTACTACATCTACTCAAGGATTGTCCTGCAGGAATCAAACGCCAGAATAGACCTGAACTATATGTTATGGGTAGTTAGTAACGCCGTCACCATCGCTATTGAACGGATCAAACAAAACATCAACCAAATCAACCACGATAACACTGCCAGCAAGCAACTCATTTTCCAGCAAAATGGGGCTCTGAAACACACCCTCAACATCCCAGTAAAACAAATGTTCGAAATAACTAAGAACCTTGACATAATAAACGAGAAACTCCACTGGCTACAACACCAAACCTCCTCAATGAAGCAGACCCAACAGAACGATTCCAACCACCACAGACCGATCATAGCCCCCCCAGCCCCAGCTGCAAGCCGACTCACCCCATTACACAAAGGCAAGAAATTGAAATATCTGTGCCCCCTGCCCAACCTAATTCAGCAGCGAACACGAATCATAAGCTGTCGCCGCCGCCCAAGATACAGGGACTGAATTCACAACAGTCACCAACAAGCAGAAACAAAAACCTAAAGATGACCTACTGTTTAACCACAAATCACAAAAATCAATGGGGAACTCGTTATCGAGACAAGCAGGGATCCGCTAATCACACCCCCCCCGATGTCAGAACCAAAATCAACTCCAAAATCCAAGATCCTGACTGCCAACTCATCACCAACCAGAAAACGAACAAAGATAACTATATCCTAGAATCAATATTCACAACCGCAGCTACCAAAGTCCTCAAATACAAAAAAGAAATCGAAGCCACCGGCAATAAACTCAAAGTACCCTTTATTGACAGCGGAGTTGATTCCTCGAGGCAGTTACCGGTGCTTTTCGGGTATTATATAGTAGAGGCCCCGAGGGCCTTTGTCAAGATTTTCGGGATGCATATTCTGCTCCACTACCAGCACGGCAAGCATGCCTCCCAGACCAAAATAACAGAAACGTTCAGTTCCCCATAGACCCAGTCAGCGTGCTTCAATTTCGTCTTCTGTTAATAAACACTTACGGGGTGCAATGAGTGTTTCCAGTGCGGCCAGCTCTTTCGATTCTATAAACTCTATAGTTTCTGGATCGACAACAGAGGTGGACACAGATTTTGATAACGGCCCACCGAGCTTTGTAGAGAGTTTTGATAGCTATCCTGAGGGCCAAGCAGTGGTGGAATACTCCTCACGTGGGTGGATCAGACTTGACGATCATTCAGAGGAGGACGACGCTGCCCTGTAGATATATGAAGATGACTATGACTATGTGGTTGACTATGATGAGGATGAACCTGGAGATGAGATTCTCCCACCTCCACCACCAATCCTAGCTCCACCCCGACTAACACCAAGTCCCCTCTCTGAATGTAGGCCCTCCCCACTACCACCACCATCTAACCGGTCATTACAAATGCCCCCCTCAGGATGAATACTATCTCAGACTCCCCCAGAATGAAGACATTTTCAGGCTCCCCCAAAATAGGGATCACGGCTCAGAAAAAGAGCATTGGAGGCTCCTGTAGCCTCCGTTAGGGATCTTGTGGCCTCCCGTAAGAGATCAAGTAGGCCAGTAGAAGAAGCAATTGCTTCTTTCTCTGTCCCGGTGAAAATAACGCAGGTATGTGCCCACTATACTCTTTGATTTGTCTATACTTATCGTACAAGTATGGCAATCGTGATGCAGTTAATCCACCCAAACCGACGATGCAACAGCACCCCCTGAGGGCCGGGCAAGCTTTCGAGAGAGCAATCTTTACATCTCCAAATTCCTCGGTTGGTTCGTTAAGCACCTTACGACATGAGCATGAGCTTTATTGTACACCAGCGGCTTCACAGTCATATCGTACCCCTCCGGCTACCCAATATCATGGTTTCCCATCCGTGCATGGAACACCTGGGCCGGAGTTAGTTGGCAGGTCGTATAGCAAGTTGCCAGAATACAAGCTAATAATTAAACACATCGGAGAGCTTCTCCGGTGTTATACACTGCTTGAGGAACCTTGGCCACAACCTGACTCTCTTATGGTTAATATTCGAAAATTTTAGGCAGAAGCAAGCGATCATTTTAATACCACTTTAAATCTGACTAAAAGTAATAGAACAGGTGTGAATAGGTTTAAAGCCTTCCATAAGGCTCAGGGAGCCCTTGCTTATACGACTAGGTTCAAATCGTATCTTCACGAGTGAGATCACACCTTATTTATGCTGTCAAAGACTATATAGCGAAGTTCATCCTGTATGGGATGAATGAGCTTCTTACAGCTGAGAAATGGGCCACCAAAGTCAATTATCTACTCGAAAAGGACCGCCTCATCAATGACCCTGACAACTATTCGGTAAACATTTCTTGTCTTTGATTAGCATTTTAGAAGGCTCTAACAGACTTCAGGGAGGCCGTTGATACTTCTGGGCTCCAGAAATCCTGGACGTGATATTTCTGAAGTATTACAAAGGCGACAAGATGCGTGATGCAAAGGATCCTGATTTCGTCGATGGTATTTCTCCGGCATTCATATGCCTGGTCTGTACCGGAATCTAGTTTGTTCTCTGATGTTGGACGACTGGAGATTACGTAGAAGGTGTGCACTTCAACCCAAGGCAGAATATGGATATCATGTTTAAGGCGTCTCCAACCCTGTGAAAGGCTCCTGCTGACTTGTCAATGTCAAGGAACGTATTCTAGGATGATGAATATATGGAAGAAGAGAAGTGTACAGAACTAAGTGGGCACTCTAGAAGTGATACGAGAAACGATTGAAGAGAAGGTCAACATCGCTATGTAACTACACATGGTGCTGAATGTACTAATAACATTACTATATATTTTGAGGAAGTACGAGGGCCCAGGGAGTTGATATCGAAGCTGGGGCAGAAGGAAGATGATGAGGCATTGGCAGTAGATATCATGGCGTGGAGGGCTGCAAAAGCCCATCGCAAAGCTCAGGGAGACAGAGCTACGGTCGAGCATAGCAACGTGGACAACATTGGTGTGTCACTATGGCTAGGTGATAGGGTAGAGGGGCTAAGTGAGGCAGTAGATATTACACCAATGCCTTCTGAAGCCTAACCAAGGGCATAGGAGGAATAAACGGTAGGAATTCCTTTCGTGGATATGGATAAATAAATACATTGTCTCTACGCTCCATCAGAAATTTTGTATGCTAATATATTACTATGTGTTTGGGTTTGGGTTACTAAATCCCACTGCGCCTTGTTAGAGTCTTTTCCGAGGTTCTCCTGGGATGTCAGGAGAGCAGCTGGGTGCTCAGGAGAGAATGAGAGGGCTCCCCATATGTCAGGAGGGTGTGAGAGGGGTTGAATTTTTTTTTTAATGGCTCAGGAGAGCATTGGACCGCTCGCTTATCTTTCGGGAGCGTATGAGTTGGGTTGAATAATTTTCTTAATAGCTCAGTAGAGTATAGGAGGGCTTGACATGACCTCGGCATTGAATGAGAAGGGGTGAATAGTTTTTTTATTGGCCCAGGACAGTTTAGTACACCTTTCTGATCCCTCGGGAGGGTTTAGGATAGGGTAAACAGTTTTCCTACTAGCTCAGGAGATTGTGAGGAGTGTGTTTCTGTGAATACGTATATGTGATTATTTTACTATAGGATCACTGCCGGTATGGCATAGGGACAGGGGATAAGAATCGTCCTCCAGAGAGTATCAGAGATGTCACTCGTTCTCGGGGTGGTTTGCTGAGGCTTTCAAAAATCTGTATCTGCTATCATCAGATACTAGTACAAATCTCGCATAGCATCCCGATAACCCCCAAAGCGTTCGGGAGAACCTCCCGAACCATTGACAAGCCTTCGGATCACTAGTCGGGTGCTCAAACCATTACAGAGAATTAAAGTTTAGCGGGTATCTCTGGAGATCTTCCATATCTCCCGTACCTTCGGTCAAGTTGGTACCGTTTGCTGATTGAGTAAATATTACTTGTTAAAAACATTCTTATAAATACCGGAGTAATATCAATAAATCCAAAGTAAGAAAAGGTTCCCAATTGAATCCGAAAGCTTTTGTAGTATTGCCAATTTCATTAGCCGTTATTCCCATTCAAATCTTCACCTCCTTATAGTTCGCAAAACTCAAACAGAGTTTACCCTCCACTGAAAAATTTGGCTACGAATGTTTTCATTAGTTCAATTATTTCCCGACGTATAATTCAATAAAAAAAAAATAACAAGAGTGCATATTCCCTAAACATTTCAGCAGATTGAAGCCGCAAATATATATTAACAACAGAAACCAAAAGTGATTTAATGAACCTGAATATGTATTATAATACTAAATACGCAAATTTCAAATATGGAATATGTATTATGCATGGTAGTGAATCGGAAATAAAGAAATACGTATTATTTACATAAATAAATCACAATCTATAAGTAAGAGAAGTTGAATTAATTTAAAGAGTCAGGGAAATAATCCTACGTAATATGTATTATTTCAAATTTATAAAACTACTTAATACGTATTATTTCACGAATTAATTCATTTAATTCAATCAAATTCAATATAGACACATATTTGAATCAATCAGTCAAGTATAAAATGAAATTTTATTTAGAAACAATATAAAAACCCAATAAGAAAAAACAAAACCTACGTAAATACAAAAAATAGCTAACTAATACAAAATACCCAAGATTGAAATATGAAATACGAAATATGAAATAGAATATTAAAACCAATTTACAAGGTCCCAAGTCTCTCCATGAATTCAGGTGGAAAAGAAATCTCCTCCAAAGTATTAACTTGCTCCTGTAATCTCTGCACCTGCTCACTCATAGTATCCAATTTCTCCTGCAACTCAATCTTCAACACCAGCCTTTTTTTCTCCAGGTCAAACTCCTGAACCTTTGCCCTCAAAGTGGAATTAATCAAGTCTCTAACACCTGATGCTGGAATATTATCAGTCTACAATAAATCCCAATTGGAAGTGAAATACATACCACCACTAAACATAGCTTCCATCAGAACCTTATCATCAATGGTGCTACTACTGACTTGATTTTGTGTTTTAACAACTGACGTAGGTCCCACTGTTTTGGGTATGGGCTTGGGTGTTTGGAGTTTGACCTGTTTATTCTATATGATGTTAGTCAAATTATTAAAACAGTAGGAAAGTGTAATACCTACAGCAACACCAATTTCATCATCACCCTCCTTTTCATCAACTCTCTGTCTTTTACCCAACCCAACTGATGTCTTTGATGGATTTGGTGAACATATTTGTTTGGGGTGGACATTGTGCTCACCAGCACCCAACTGATTCAGTGGCTTGGGTTTTTTCAACTCAACTGTTGGGTTTGGCTTAGGGGTTCTGCTGTTGGCTTTTGGTGTTTTGCCATTTATGGGATTGAAAGAGCTTTTTTGCAGATTGGGCTGAGGTGTTTTGGTAACAACATAACCCTCACTATCTGAACCAGATGTGCTGGATTTGTATTGGTTCTTGTTCCACTAGAGTTAGAGTTAGCAAATTTGAATTTGAAATACGGGATTTGAAATACGTATTACCTTGCTCACTTCAGCATATATTTCACCAGTACTAAGAAACACCCTCAAGTCATGTTGGTCTTTCTGGGATAAATGGCCAAGGGTGGATGTATCCTTTAGGTGCCTTGCCCTTTTATCAAATACTCAATGAAACCCTAGTCTCTTGGGTGGCTTCAATGTGGCATCCTTTTCAGAAATGGGATTTTGAAACAGTGTCTAAAACAGTTAGGATTATCAACAGAGGGGTTCAGCAAGCTGTGGGGTTCATGTATGCATTTTGGCCAAAATGATTGCATTGGGAGAGGAATTGAAGGGGTGGGGTTCTGATGACTATGCAGTCAGTGGTTACAGGGATTTCATTTTGGGTGTTTTTATGTCATATTGTATTAAGGTTTAAAATTTTCTTGGTTATTATATTTGTATTTGAGTATAACAAATTCGTATTTCAATTTCACTTTTAATTATTTCGGAAATTCCCTCCATTTTATTACCATTGAAATAAAGGCTGTATACATTATTTGTATTCAAATTTCTAAATAAAATCATATTCATACTTGTATATTTGCTGCAATATTCGCATTATTACGTATTCATATATTTGAATATTATTTTGATTTATTTTTAACCGCAATCTAGTATTTGTAATACTCGTGTCTGAAAGGGTTCTATTTTATTAATTTCAAATCCCTATCAATAAAAATAGTAATATTAATTCGGGGTATCCTACGATACCTTTTTATAGTTGCTAAACATAACTAATTCGAATAATGTATTTCGAATATTTCATGATTTCATTTACTCATTTCCGTATATTTGAAACACGAAATATTGCATTCCGTATTACTCTGAATACATATTAATAATAACAGTCGCAATTGTAACTGTCGTACAATAGTTTCCAACAGGCCAAACTACTCCAACCAATTCGGGCCGATATGAAGCACTACTGTCCGATGCAACCCCGATATTAGTACACTCGAGAGGAAATGCCAATTGTTTGATTGTATATTTATAATGGTTTTGGGGCCCTCCCGACTGCTCAAGCGATTCATAAAAATAAAATGATTGTTATCACGCCTCCGGATATTTTTGAATTGGGCACTTTGAAGCCTGCTTCATGCCTGACTTACTGATTCTAATATATCGAGGCCTGTTTCTCCCCAACCATAAACATTCCCGCCATACCGTCCTATAGTATTCACAATTTCCTAACGAGACTACAAAGACGTAACTCAAGTGACGTTCTCTACTGCATTCACAGTACAGGGAACTACATTTTCAGAACTGGTTTATCCAACTCCATTTTCCTATACTTAATCCTAAATATAATAATTGATTTAATACCTAAAGTAACGAAAATACAATATAGGTATGATATCAAATTCCCCACGATATCCTTTAGGACTTGCGATAGTTCCACAAATCCTCCTCTCCCCCCTCTTCGTAATTATTCACTATAGACAATTCCAACTCCAATTCTTCTTCCTCTTTCTCCTCTTCTGTATCAATCCCGCAAAACTTTGCACTAATCATTTCGTACTGATTGCTCTCGGAACCAGCAAGAACTCCTGTAACACTGTTGAGTTTTCTCCGGGAAATTCGGAATTAGACGGGATCCGCAGCCAGAGCTTCATCGTCCTTGCCCAAACACTCCCCCGGTATCACCTGAATCGTTATACCCTATTTTTTATGTATCTATTATGGTTACCATTTAGATTATACGACATGTCCACCCCCGACCCAACTGTATGGGCTGCACCCAATGATGTAGAAGGATTCAGGCAGATGTATGAGGCTGACTCTACTGAATTATTCAACAACATCGCCACCCTCGTCCAGCGCGTCGGCTTCCAAAGGGACACCCTTCATACACAACTTACCGCCGCCAATGAAACTATTGACAACCTCGAGGGGCAGATAAACCGGCTCAACCTCGACCTCAATATCGCCCGTGCTTCCTCCGCCCCTACCGTCGCTGTCCCCGTTGCCGCTGCTCCCCCACCTGCTCCTGTCCCCACCTTCAGGTCTGAAAAGTTTCCAGACCCTGAAAAATTCGATGGCACCCGCACCAAGCTCCCCAGATTCATCACCCAACTTCGGATGAAACTTGAAGTCAACCACGATCGGTTCCGAAACGAGGCAGCAAAGGTTATTTATGCCGTCAGTCACTTGGAAGGAAGGGCCCTTGACCAGGTCGTTCCACTCATTAACGCTAACCCTGCTGCCCCCTTTTCGTCCATCACTGCCTTCGTTGCCCACCTGGAAGCCTCGTTTGGAGACCCAGATCCCCAGAATACCGCCCGTCGCCAACTCGTCGCCCTGAAGCAAGGGAAAGGGGACTTCGCCACCTATTACTCGCAGTTCCTCCATATTGTGGCCTACCTAGACTACAATGAAGGAGCCAAGATCGGTGCCGTGACCGAAGGACCGTCGGAAGACCTGAAGAACGCCATAACATACCAGGCAGATAGGCCTAACACCATAGAGGCATATGCCACCATGTTAATGACAATTGACAACCAGGTTCAGGGGCATAAAGCTGAACAACGGGCCATTCGGAATACAATGGGACAATTCACCGCCCCCGCTGCTGTCGCACACCCATCTCATACCGCTGGAGGCCTCGCCCCAATGGACCTCTCCGCTCTCCAAAGCCACCCCACTCAACGTCCTGCCATCGAACAACGATACACTTTTATCAATGGACAACGCAAAACCTCTGCCGCCGAAAAACAATGGCGAAGGTACAACAATCTCTGTATGTACTGCGCCAACTCCGGTCATGTCTTTGCCAACTGCCCCTCTGCCAATCACCCGCGCGGTAACCAACCGGTTATGAGAGGCGCCCTCCTCGCACCCAGCCATACGGCCGTCGACCCCGCTGCTCCACCGGTCGCTAGTCCCGCCTCCTCTGGGTCGGGTTTTCAGTAGTCCCGGGCTTGATTAATGGCCCCTGCCCGGGACCTTCCAATGTTTCTCCTTTGTCTGCGTTTTCTATCTCTGGCTTCTCGGTATCGTCTGTGGAGGATTAATTGAATGGGGATCATTTTGTTGCTTCTTGTAAAATTATACACAATAAAATACCCATTCAAACTCACGCATTGATTGATACCGGTTGGTCCGGATTCGCATTCATTGATGAAACATTCACGCGCCATAACAACTTCCCATTTCTCCCCCTTAAATCACCCCGCACTCTTGAAGTCATCGACGGACGGCCCATATCTTCCGGACAAATTACCCACCTCTGCTACCTACCGCTATCAATTGACTCCCACCATGAAACTATCCCCTTCTTTGTCACCAAGCTCGGCTCATACCCACTCGTCTTCGGAATCCCCTGGCTCCAATTGCATGACGTCACATTACGGTTTAAGGACAACAGTATACTGTTCGACTCCGAACACTGCAGATGCAAGTGCAACTCTTCCGCGATACCCGTTCCCATTAGAGGGGTTGCACCACCGCCCCGTTTCCACTTCATCAGTTCAGCTGCTCTTTGTCGCTTTGCTCGAATGGACAAACTCCAAATCTTTAGTACAACTATTGAGGAAATAGATCAAACTATGGGCGAGGCCCCTAAGGAAGACTGGAGAATCCGAGTCCCAACCCAATATAAGAGGTTTTATGAAATGATGGATGATAAATTCGCTAATGAGATGCCGCCTCCCCGCCCCTACGATCATAAGATACCGCTTAAGGAAGGGAAAGAGCCCCCTTTTGGACCACTTTATGGTATGTCCCGTGAGGAACTCATTGTGCTTAAACGATACATACAGGACAACCCCCAGAAGGGCTTCATTCAGGCCAGCTCTTCGCCTGCCGGTGCCTCTGTCCTATTTGTTAAAAAGGGCGATGGAACACTCCGCCTCTGTGTCGATTATCGTGGCCTCAACGAACTCACTGTCAAAAACCGCTACCCGCTGCCACTCATCCGGGAAACTCTCGACCGCCTTTCCAAAGCCAAGTGGTACACCAAACTTCACCTTCGCCAAGGGTACAACCAGATCCGAATGGCTGAGGGTGAAGAATGGAAAACAGCCTTCCGAACGCGTTACGGGCATTTCGAATATACGGTGATGCCCTTCGGCCTTACCAATGCACCAGCCACCTTTCAACATTTCATTAATGATTGCGTCCACGACTACCTCGATATGTTCTGCACAGCCTACCTCGACGATATTCTTATTTACAGCGACACCTTCGAGGAACATCAAATACACGTCGAAAAGGTCCTGGAAGCCCTATGAAGAAATGGAGTACTGTTGAAAACGGAGAAATGCGAATTTCATACACAAAGCACCACTTATCTCGGCCTTATTATCGAACCCAATGGTATTAAAATGGACCCGAGAAAAGTGGAGACAGTGAAGAATTGGACCGTCACCAAAACAGTTAAGGATGTGCAAGCATTTCTAGGTTTTGCTAACTTTTACCGCCGATTTATACGTGGATTCTCGGAAGTGGTTTCTCCCCTTACCAGACTGACGTGTAAGGATATATCATTTGGATGGACACCCGAAGCCCAAACCGCCTTCAACGCCCTGAAAGAAGCCTTCACCACGGCTCCCATTCTTACTCATTTTGACCCCGAGAAAGAAATCACCGTGGAAACTGACGCATCTGACTATGTCTCTGCCGGCGTACTCTCCCAATACAATGACACTTCTACCCTTCGACCTGTCGCATACTTCTCAAAAAAACACTCCCCCGCCGAATGCAACTACGAGATTTACGACAAGGAACTACTGGCAATTATTCGGTCTTTTGAGGAATGGCGACCGGAACTTGAAGGAGCTGCACACCCAATCGCCGTCATATCCGATCATAAAAATCTCGAATACTTTATGAGTACCAAACAACTCAACCGGAGACAAGCACGGTGGGCAGAATATCTGTCACAGTTTAATTTTGTCATTAAGTACTGACCAGGGTAACAAGGAGGGAAACCGGACGCGTTGACAAGAAGATCAGGAGATCTCCCTGGAGAGGGGGATGAAAGACAATTGCATCAGAGTCAAGTGGTATTAAAGAAGGAGAACCTTGATGTAAAGCTAAGTTTGTTGGCGGGTTCTTTCTCAAACGAGCCTGCTAAAAAGAACGCCTCACTGCATGGACTGTTCGATGAAGGATATAGCGCTGACCCATGTCCACAAAAGATACTGGATATGCGGAACAAAGATGAACGACAATCAAAGGACATATCACTCGCCGAATGCACCGAGGTTGAAGGCCGATTACTTTACCGAGGCAGCATATATGTCCCCGATTACAACCCTCTTAAGCTCCGAATCCTCCAACTTTATCATGACGCTGCCTCTGCTGGACATCCGGGACGCGAAAAAACATTCGAACACATC